AGTTGGAGAGGCAAGGTGTTGCCAACCTAAACAAGAGCCCAGCCTAATCTGCTGAGATGGTCCCTGACTGGGAGGCTCCAGGGAATGCCACATGGCTCTCCCTGAAGGGCCGGGTGCCACCAGCCCACTCCATACCTCACCAACCCTTGTCACGGCATGTCAGTTTTTTGTCATTTCATAGCAAACACTTTATATGTACCCTGGTGAGAAAAGTCTATTAGTTACCAAGTGGTGCATCCAAATCTGCATTTAATTAAAAAGTGAGTATTGTGTCTCAAGCTATATCTACCTTATTGGAAGCACTGGGACCTGTCACATTTTTATTTTGTCATTTTTTCCTACTTTAAAACATTTACAAAGTATTTCTATGTAATCAAATATTTTATTCTGCATTGTTTAGGTCTGATTTTTGAAAATGTTTAAAACAAAAGCTGAAGGGACAGGGAGGGTGAATTAAGTATAGCTATTCCCATCCACAGCGTGGAGAGGCATGCAGTCCTGGGGGCTGCCCTGCTGGTGGACTGGCACATTCCATTCTGGACCCTTCATCAAGTGTTTCCCGACATGCACTTAGCACCTGCAAGAGCTGCAAAGATTCCATGGAGTGAGGAGCAAGGGTGAAAATACAAGGACCCCACCCTAGGGGATCTCCTGGTCTAAAAGATGAGCCGGGGTGATTTAGTGACTATCTTTTGCGTTGCAAGTCAACACTGTTCAGAGGTGTTCCAGATAGGGAGAGGGAGAGCCAACAGCAGCAGAAGGTCCTACCGCCATGGAACAAGGTGCAGGGTATGAGAACATAAACAAAGAGCATGCACTATCAGGTCAGCCTGGGAGAACCACCATTAAGAAAAATAAAAGTGGATGGGGGCTAGAGATTAGCAGGGTTACTGTTTATGGGTGGCTTGGTCAGAGGGGGCATCTCTGGGAGATGACACTCGAACAGAGCCCTGAGGACATGTGGTGGCACCAAGCTCCAAGCGAAGGGAACAGCAGCTGCAGAGGTGGAAGTGTTGCAGGTGAGCTGCAGTCCCTGCACAAGGCCAGTGCGGCAGGGGCTGAGCGAGAAGACGGAGACTGAGCTGGGGAGGGCCTCGCGTGAAGATCAGCACTTTGCAACAAATTCTGTGAGACAGGGAAATGCCACTAGGAGGTTCTGACTTAAGAAAAAATGTAACTGTGATATGACAGAAGAGAGGATAAATTACTGTGGGATGATGAGGATGAAGGGGCAATTCATTTCCCCAAAGACATCAGACCAAGTTTTGGAGAGGAAGTGATGCATGCATGCAAAGGACTTTATCTGTTCTGCTCTAACACTAGAAAGGACTGGCACTGGGCACAAGGGCACAGACCCCACCCAGCAGAAGAAGAGGTGTCAGCATAGACTATGACTAGAGGTAGGAAGAGGCTGAAAGACCATTCTGTTACCTAAATCAGAAATAAAAGAATGAGAGACTCTAGTGGAAGGCTCAGGTAAAGATTGGTTATGTCCATTTGGTTTATGACTAGAAAGTTCCATAACAACCCAGTAAGGATGATTTTATTTCACTTGTGATATATTTAAAATGTATTCTCTCTCTTTTTTTTAAGAACAGCAAACAGTTCTCAGTTGAATTCTGCTTCAAGGGCCTGCTTATCTTCTGTCTGACTCAATAATTCTGAATGTTGTGAACTGTCCTAAATGTTATTCAACATCCACTCTGCAATCAGCATGGTACAATTATAACAAGTATCTAAGGGAAAACCACGATGGTTGTATATGTTTTAGGAAACAAAGTCAGCTCCTAATTTTCCAGCTCATTGAAGCGAATTGTCAGCATGGGACACAGATGTGCCTGTGCTCCTCACCCAGCACAGCCATTTCCTTAGGGTCCCTGTGTGTCAGGCAGCTCAGAAGCAGCCAAAGTCGTGTTCAATCTCACAGGACTGCAAGTTCCAGAGATCAAGGAACTCATCCAAAGGCATTGACTTGACTAGGTGTGGTGGTTCATGCCAGCAATTCCAACAATTTGGGAGGCCAATGCGGGTGGATCACCTGAGGTCAGGAGTTCGAGACCAGCCTGGCCAACATGGTGAAACCCAGTCTCTACTAAAAATACAAAAATTAGCCAAGCCTGGTGATGGGGTCTGTAATCCCAGCTACTCAGGAAGCTGAGGCAGGAGGCTGCAGTGAGCCAAGATCACACCATTGCACACCAGCCTGGGTGACAAGAGTGAAAATCCATCTCAAAATTTAAAAAAAAAAGGCACAGAGTTAGTCGGGGCAGAATAGAAATGTACATCCAAGTCCTCCTAACTCTAGAGTCTACCATCTAGCTTCTGAAACTCGGTTACTTTCCAAAGCAAGAAAAACTGTACATCACATTATCCAATAGAGTAGGTAATCTGTGTGTAAATAATTAATAACATAGTAAAAGAAATGAGCTCCACGTAAAGAAAGTTCACATCAAGTGTGGCTCCAAATGATGTGACTACAAAGACTGCCAAAACGCGACCCAGTTAGATGACCAGAGCAGGCATGGCTTTTAGGTTCTGATATTTTCGTATTTTTTAAGGACATTCAGGAAACACAAGCGTGATAGAAAGATTTTGACAACTCAACAGGGCTAAGTCATCAGTATGCAATTTCAATTCCAACTATAGGAAAAGCCCACCATGAGGGACTACATGTCAAATAAAACAGACAAATCACGTCCTCATGGATAAGGAAAGGAGAGTTTAACCAGGCAGCAGGGCACCAAGGTGAATTGCAGGTGATCATCCGTAGTTAGGAATGGCAGCTAGGAGGAAGCTGTCATTACCTGGTCATACAAATTGGACTCTTCCTAGTTGAATGGGAACATTTATTTTCATTCTCAAGAGGCTTTTCTCAGTTAACTTTTCAAGAACTTACACTGGGCCTTAGGGCTTGAATATTATGGTCTTCCCCCCCACTTCTAGGGACTCTAATTACCTACCTGTGAATACACAAAATACTAATCTTGTAATACTGCCAACAACACATGGAAGTCAAACTTTTTAAGAAAAAATGAATTAAAGTATTTGGAAAACCCTAATCACATTCATTTTAGCTCGATTTCAAATCTGGAACTCTTAGTAACTTCTACTTAATAACTTACATAAGAATGAAAATCTAGAAAATGTCACATTATTTCCTGAGAGCAGTTAATATTAATTGAGCACATACTATGGGGCAGGCAGTTTTTGAATTATATCCATTCATTTATCTCACTTAATAATTGTAAACTCATGAGGTAGAGATTAATATTATCTTTATTTTATAGATGAGGAAACTGAGGCATAAAGAGATACACACTAAGCAAGCTTTAAACCGATATTCAAAACCCAGCATTCTGACTCCAGTTATCTCATTTTTAACAACTAGTGTATACTGCTCTAGAACTTGTATTTTTAGATCCATTCTAGGCTCATCAGGAGAAACTGTGCAATTCACCAGCAGACCTCAAACCATATTCTGAGAAGCATCTGTAACTATGATGACACCTCAAAATAGTGCAATAGCATTGAAAAGATGCACTGGGGGTCGAAGATGGACTCCAGAGAATTAAGAAAGAGAACCAGCAGGGCACTTGGTGACTGTTTATATGTATGGGTTAAGGAAGGGGCGAAGAGGGAGCAGCATCTGGAATGGCAACTCAGGAAGCAAACAGAAACTACAGTAGAAAGAGTAAGTTTTTGGCTTGGGATGGAGTTTGGGTTTGATGCATAGACTCTGGGATGCTTCTGAGACATTCAGGTAGAAAAGCTAGGCGGGTAGAGTGACAAAGGAGAAGGCAATGCTTGGAGTGGAGTGAAGAAAGCTGTCCCTGTACCTACAATGTTGGTTCATACATGATAAAGTTCCTGGATGAGAGATGGATGTACAGGGTGTATTGGGGGGGTTCACATAAAGCGAGAACCATCTCCCTGACATGCTGGGCTGTGAAACAAGATAGAATGAAAAGCAAGATGGAGGAAACCACAAAGCACAAATGCTGGCACCCTTCCCCATTTGGAGTCCTCCACATGGTGCTGACCGTGGTCCCCTTCATTTTACACTCTTGGGGTACTGGTCTTACGTGTGCCAATAAGCTGTAGACTCCATAAGGGCCTTCATCTCTTTGATTTTGTAGTTTTTGAAGAACCTAGCACAATGTAAAATTGTTTCTCCAATTATTTAGCCAGGGATTCTTCTCATTTTTACAAGAAGTCCTTTAAGGTCTAAGGTTCAAGCATCATTAGGCTGGCTCCATGTAAGACATCCTCATTAATAGAAAAGCATTCTAGCTTATCCTTAAGAAACCAATGGGAGGGAAAGAGAAGCAGTGAGGGAACAAAACGAACATGAGAATGGAGAACATTTGCACTTGCATCTGGAGCTGGTTATTAGTCATGTCAGCCTAATCAGATCAGCGGACTCCTTCAGACAAAAAAATATGGCAATTTGGTTTGCTGCTCATTAAAATTTAGAGTGGTTAATTTCCTACTTAACTTTAAGTAGCTAGAAAGTCAGAAATAATAAAGATGCAAGTAAAGTAGAGGATTTTAAAAATTTTTTACAAGTTAAAAAAAAATCTGAAAATTGTTGGAAGTTAAAGCATTTTAATTTTCAAAAAGACTTTGTGTAGTCTATTCTATAAAATAAAATTAAGATCAGATGTTTAAAAAAATAAGATGCACTTGTTCAAAGCAATGACCAAAATTAGATGGATTTAGATGTGCTAGCTCAGTTTTCCAAACTAAAATGTAGAACATGAAGATTCCCATGGAAAACACTATCAAAATAATTTTTTAATGATTATCACTTTTCATTAACATAACGCATGCCCTTTGAGGCTAAATTGTAAATAATCGGCTTTCTGTGTAGCTGTAGTGATGATTAATTCGCCTTTGTGATATTTAGCTTTCAAATGCCTATAATGGCATGAATAAGAAACATTATGGCTGGAAATCAGGCCAAGTATTTAAAGAGCAACGACAAAGAGCAAAGTACTCACGCTGCGGCACCTCCAGGGGATGTCCTGTGACATCACACCATCCGATCGGGTGGATGTCGGGGCTGTCCGCCTCCACCCAGTAGTCATACTTATGGTCCCAACCATCAAAATGAACCTGTTAAAAAGAGTTTTCAATGATTAGCATTTAGTATTTAGTATTTCACTAGTGCTGCATTGAAATATTTGAATACAGATCTCTGAAGTTGAGATTAAAATTTTATTAATCACACCTTGCAGTTGAAATAATATTTAAAATGTGTCATTCTACAGCCTCCTAATCCAGCCAACAAAGGCAACTATACCAATTTGTCAAAAAAATAAAATTAAAGAAGTTGGTAAATAAAACATTTGTCAGGGATTGATCAGAATTTGAAGAAGTAAGACCAATCTATTTTCTCAACTAAGACAAATACTGGAATGCTGTTGAGGGCACACTCTTTGTCCCGGGCAACTGTCTTAGTAACCACTTCAAGAACCACGTCAGCATCATCAACAGTAAAAGTCACCAGCTTGATATTAGTACAAGGCCTGTAATGATGGGAAATACACAGATTAGAATATAAAGAAACAATTAATTGCTAAAACCTCACAAATGAGAGATGGGCACCTTTGGAACAAGGAGGCAAAAACAGTAGACAAAATATGCTACAGGGTAGACAGATTTTAGTAGCTACCATAAGAGCTATTGAAAGACCAAGTGTGAGCTATCAGGAAATCTTCCAAAGAAGAGGTAGGGCCCAGGTCTAGTCATCCTACCAGCATAGGCTCAAGTAAGGCTAATTATTACAAGGATAATTTATCTTGTATCTTATCTACAAAACACACAACTATATACCATGCACATATATAAGAACAACTAAATAAATCCCAATTTCTGAAACAAAAATCTAATTCTTTCTTAAAATAAAAATAATTATCCCTTTTTAAAAAACTATATCCTTTCCAATCCAAAGAAGCCCACTTAAGTTTTTGAAAATCATATTTGAATAAAAAGAGCAAGATGCTTAGTGCTATAATAAGCCAACCTGAAACATAAATCCATTATGCAGAACATAAGACCAAAAAAGCAAAATTCTATGTATTGAGTCCCAAATAAATTCAGTCCCAATATTTTTTCTCAAGAGTCATCTTTCTAAGCAAGTGGTTTTCCAAGTGTGATTCCCAGACTATCAGTATCACCGACCTGGACACTTCTTCAAAATGCAAATTCTTGGGCTCTACCTCCATCCTACTGAATCAGAAACTCTAAAGGCAGAGCCTAACAGTGTGTGTTAACAGGTTTCCTACGTGAGTCTGCTATATGCTAAATTTGAGAACCAGAGATTACAGTAATAACTTTCAAAAGTGTATTTCTACCAAACTTAGGTTTCTGACCACAACAGAGTGTCCTTTCATAGTAATAACCATAAAACTGGACATACGCAGCAACGTTTTCTGACACTGGACAGCAGGCAGCACAGAAATGAAATCCCTACATAAAGGAAAACATCCCAGATGAGCCCTTAACATCAGCCTGGAGACAATTTCCTGATTGCAGCACAGAGAGGAGAAACATAAAGAAAGCAGTTTTGCAGTCAGAGAGACACAGATTGCAGATCAGAGCTGATGATGCAGCTGGAAGTTAAAGGACAAGTACTGGAGAAGACAGAACTACAAAAAAGGGAAACCAAAGGCAGGCGTGGTGGCTCATTCCTGTCATCCCAAAACTTTGGGAGGCCAAGGAAGGAGAATCACTTGAGCCTAGGAGTTCCAGACCAGCCTGGACAACATGGTGAAACCTCGTCTCTACAAAAAATACACAAATTAGCTAGGTGTGGTGGTGTGCACCTGTGGTCCCAGCTACCCATAAGGCTAAAGTGGAAGAATCACCTCAGCCTAGGGAGGTTGAGGCTGCAGCAACCCATGATTGTGCCACAGCACTGCAACCTGGGCGACACAGTAAGACCCTTTCTCAATAAAGGGGGAGACATAAAAGCCCATGTGTGGTTATTCACAAGACCTTGATCAAAGGCTGGACTACCCAGGTACCAGGTGAGACTTTCTGAAACCAAGGAAAGAGTAGCCAATATGAGGCTGAAAATGAAACAAAGATACTAGAGGTCACACGTTCCTGGGAGAGGGTAGAGACCAATGTGGAGAAACCTCAATAACACGTTGACAATTTGATTGAGATACTACCAAGTTCACACTTTTGGGAAAAGAAAGATGTCGTAGATTAAACATTACTCATGAACTGCCCTAAATGAAGGATAAAATCGAGGCTCAGCAAGATGAAGAATTACCAGTAATTAACTCCCCAAGAGAACCAAATCTACTCTCCTTAAAAGAAAATAAATATTCCTACTGGATACTATAACATTCATTATTAAACATGTAAATAAGCAGGAGACTGTGAGCCATACTCAATTTGTAAGGAAGCTGTCAACAGAAATACACCCTGAGATGACCCAGATGTTGTAATTAGCAGGCAAGGACTTCAAAGCAGTTATTGAAATATGTTAAAAAACATAATAGAACATGGTCTTAATGAGTGAACAGAGAATCTCAGGAGAGAAATGGAAACTATAAAAGAGAAGCACATGGAAATTCTAGAGCTCAATAGCAAAATATCTTAAATATTGCTGGATGGCAATAGTAGCAGATTGCAGATGGCAGAAAAACAGATGAGTGAATATAAAATAGAAAAAAAAGATTCATAGAAATTACATATATAATATAAAAACAGACTTCTAGAAGTTATTAATCTAAAGAATAGATGATGTTCAGGTGTGATGGCCCACACCTGTAATTGCAGCACTTTGGGAGGCGAAGATAGGCAGATCATTTGAGCCAGGCGGTTGAGACCAGACTGGCCAAGACGGTGAAGCCCCACCTCTACTAAAAATGCAAGAATTAGCTGGTGTAGTAGTGTACACCTGTAATCCCAGCTACTCGGGAGGCTGAGGCACAAGGATGGCTTGAATGTGGGCGGTGGAGTTTGCAGTGAGCCGAAACTGCACAACGGCACTCCAGCCTGGGCAACAGAGCAAGATTCTGTCTAAAAAGAAAAAGAAGAAGAAGAAGGAACAGATGATGCAAGATTTAAATAATGAATAGAGCCTGATAACATCAACTCATCCAACATACACATATTTAGGACACGGAGGGAATGGAGCAGGAATAGTTGTCAAATAAACATAGAAGAGATAAGGTTTTTAAAAAAACTCCCTAATTTGGCCAAAAATACCAGTTTCCAAGCTTAGGAATGGCAAAACCTAAGCATAACAAACATAAAGGAAATCAAAACTAGGCAAATCATAGACCACTGAAAGTGAAAAATAAAGGGAAATCCTGAAAGCAACCTGAGAAATGCAACACATTACAAAGAATAGAGCCACGATGGGAAAGTGGGCCACCTTCTCACCAGAAACAGTGCAGGCAAAAAGATAATAAAATATCATCTTTAAAACACTAAGAGGAAACATAAAAAGCTGTCAAACAGAATTTCAATTCCTACGAAAACAACCTTCAAAAAAGAGTAAAATAGAGAAAATTCCAAATAAACGAAAACAGAAGAATATGCACGTATATTCTTTAGTTTTATACTCTAAGAAATCTTATGGGAAGTATTTCAGACTGATGCTAAGTGATGCCGGATGGAAACTCTGATCTACGTGAAGAGCACTAGCAATGGCAAATACATGGGGAAATATGCAAGGCTAGTTCTGCATTCTAACTATAATCAATTAATTCATTACATCATCTCAATGGATATAGAAAAAGTATTTGACAAAGTTCAATACACAATGATAAATACTTCAATAAATTAGAAATAGAAGGGAACTCTCTTTGTTTGATAAAAGGCATCTGTGAAACACTTACAGGTAGTATCATACTACGAAATACTTTAGATTGCTTTGTCACCAAAATCAAGAATAAGGCAAATTTATTCATTCTTACTGTTTCTACTCAACATTGTAATGTAGTGCACTTAGGCAAGAGGAAGAAATATTAACAAAAGGCATGAAAATTCCAAAACCAGTCAATATAAAACAATCAGTTGTATTAATATATACTGGCAACAAAAAACTGAAAAATACTAATTTTCAAAAAATTTCCTTTAGAATAGCATCAAAAAATGAAGAACTTAGCAAAACATCTGAGAAAATAAGAAAATGTGCAAGACCTACACAATGAAAACTAGAAAACATTCTTAAGGAAAATTAAAAGACGATCCCATATAAGTGAAGAGAACTATCATGCCCACAGTCTGGAAGACTCAATATTATTATTAATATGTCATCTCTTCCCAGATTGTTCCACAAGTCAATATAATCCCACTCAAAAAGGTAGGCCTTTTGTTTGCATAATTTGACAAGTTGATTCTAACATTACAAAGGAATGAAAAATGATCTAGCTTACCCAAAACTATTTTGGGAAAAAAATTAACAAAGTTGCAGGATCGATACTATCTGATTTTTAGAATTACTACAAAGGCATAGTTATTAGGACAGTGTTGTGCTGGCTTGGGATAGGCAAACATATTAATAGAAAAAATACTGTACATAAATTGATCCATATATGTGCAGTCAATCAATTTTCAAAAATACGACAAGAGTATTAAATGAGTATTAAATGTCTTTTCAATAAATGGCACTAGATGCCTGGACAGTCACATCCCACATACACAAGAATTTGAAATGAAACATAAGTAAAACATAAAAGCTAAAACTACAAAACCCAAGAAGAAAACTTAAGATAAAGTCTTCATGATATTGGAATATTCAAGAATTTATTAGCACAGAGAAGGCACTACCCATACAGTAATAAATTAATAAATTTATTTTTTACCTGAATCAAAAACTTTTATCAAAATCATCAAGAAAAATAAGAAGCGAGCCACAGACATTTGCAATACATTTATCTGACAAGGGACTTGACAAAAAATTCAATGTAAAAAATGAGCAAAAGACTCAATGTACATTTTGAAAAAAAAATCATGAATTATCAATAAACAAACTTTTAATCTCAATATCACTCTTCATCAAAGAAACCAAAATGAAATACTACTGCATACCCACTCGACTGACTTAAACAACAGACAAAATTTCCCAACATCAGTTATTGCCAAGGCTG